ATCCCAAATTCCCAAAAAACCCAAAAATCTTGGAATTTTCCCTAAAATTGACTCACATTGCTCCTCCTTGGTGTAATAGTACTCCTTGTCGATGAGCAGGTGTCCCCCGGAGCCTCAAAAATCCCCCAAAACCTCCCCTAAAATCCCCCAAATTTCACCCAAATTCACCCAAAATCCACTCAAATCCTCCCAATTTTTTTCAGGAACCGTAAAAATCAAAAAAAATCTCAAAAAATCCCAAAAATCAAAAAAAATCCCCTCAGGATCCTCCAAACCCCCTCCTAAAATCCCATCAGGGACCGCCAACCCCCCTTAAAATCCCCTCAGAACTCACCAAAAACCTCCTTAAACTGCCCCAAAATCCACTCAAATCACCCCAAATTTTTTCCTGGAAATCCCAGAATTCCCAAAAATCCTAAAATTCCCAAAAATTCACTCACATTGCTCCTCCTTGGTGTAGTAGTACTCCTTGTCGATGAGCAAATGTCCCCCGGAGCCATGCGCCAGCAGCTCGAAGGAATTCATCACCTCGATGTTCCGGCCCTCCTGGCGCCCAATCAGAGCCCCCACCACTGGAAATTTGGGAATTTGGGGAAATTTTGGGAATTTGGGATTTCCAGGAAAAAATTTGGGGTGATTTGGGTGGAGTTTGAGGGGTTTTGGGGCTGTTTTAGGGGACTTCGGAGGAGCTTGAGGGGCTCCTGATGGGATTTTGGGAGGGGCTTGGGAGGGTCTTAAGAGGATTTTTGGGAATTTTTGAGATTTTTTGGGGAATTTTGGGTTTTTTTAGGAATTTTGGGAGTTCTGGAAGGATTTTGGGTGGTTTTGGGGTGGTTTTAGGGGATTTTGGGGTGATTTTGGGATGGTTTTGGCGCTCCCAGGGCAGTTCATCACCTCGATGTTCCGGCCCTCCTGGCGCCCAATCAGAGCCCCCACCACTGGAAATTTGGGAATTTTGGGAAATTTTAGGAATTTGGGATTTCCAGGAAAAAATTTGGGGTGATTTGGGTGGAGTTTGAGGGGTTTTGGGGCTGTTTTTGGCGAGTTTGGAGGGGATTTTAGGAGCGGTTTGGAGGCTCCTGATGGGATTTTGGGAGGGGGTTGGGAGGGTCTTAAGAGGATTTTTTTGGGAATTTTTGGGTTTTTTTAGGAATTTTCAGAGTTTGAGGGGATTTAGGACAATTTTTGGGGGGATTTTGGGTGTTTTTGGGATGATTTTGGGGTGGTTTTGGCACTCCCAGGGCAGTTAATCACCTCGATGTTCCGGCCCTCCTCCCTCACCACCGGAATTCGGAGAATTTGGGTTTTTTTTTTTATTTTTTGGAATTTTTTCGGGAATTTTGGGGATTCTGGAAGAATTTGGGAGGGATTTGGGAGATTTTTGGGGATAATTTTGGGAATATTTATGGAATTTTCCCCCTACCTTGGCCGTTCCTCCCTTCTTGGGATCACACGGAGGTTTTGGGTTTATTTTTGTGTATTTTGAGCACATTTTGGTCATTTTTGGGGTTATTTTTACTGGGTTTTCGCTCAGTTTGGGGTAATTTTGGGAATATTTATGGAATTTTCCCCCACCTTGGCCGTTCCTCCCCTCCTGGGAGCGCAGGGAGATTTTTGGGGCTATTTTTGTGTGTTCTGGTCATTTTTGGGGTTATTTTTACGGGGTTTTCGCGCAGTTTGGGATAATTTTGGGATAATTTTTGGGAATATTTCAGGAATTTTCCCCCACCTTGTCCGTTCCTCCCCTCCTGGGAGCGCAGGGAGGTTCTGGGTTTATTTTTGTGTATTTTTGTCATTTTTTGGGTTATTTTTCCGGGGTTTTCGCGCAGTTTGGGATAATTTTGGGATAATTTTGGGAATATTTCAGGAATTTTCCCCACCTTGTCCGTTCCTCCCCTCCTGGGAGCGCAGGCGGATCCAGTGGTCGGAGATGTTGAGGATGACCAGAGGGTGCAGAGCCACGGAAACGCTGCCGGTCACTCCCCCCGCCATCACCTGCGGCACGCCTGGGGGCGGGGCCAGAGCCTCAGGGGCGGGGCCAACTCCCGAGGGGCGTGGTCACACCAGAATGGGGCGTGGTCACCTCCTGAGAGGCGTGACCACAGCGGAATGGGGCGCGGTCACACCAAAATGGGGCGTGACCACCTCCTGAGGGGCGTGGTCACACCGGAACGGGGCGTGGCCACCTCCCGAAGGGCGTGGTCACAGCGGATGGGGCGTGGTCAAATCCCGAAGGGCGTGGTCACAGCGGAATGGGGCGTGGGAACCCAAAAATGGGGCGTGGTCACACCGGAATGGGGTGTGGGACCCTCAAAATGGGGCGTGGCCACCTCCAGAAGGGCGTGGTCACACCGGAATGGGGCGTGGTCAAATCCCGAAGGGTGTGGGAACCCAAAAATGGGGCGTGGTCACACCTAATTGGGGCGTGGAACCCAGAAGGGGGGGCGTGGTCACTGAAAAATGGGGTGTGGTCAACTCCCGAGGGGCGTGGTCACACCGGAATGGGGCGTGGGAAACCAAAATGGGGCGTGGTCATCCCAAATTTGGGCGTGGTCACACCGGAATGGGGCGTGGTCACCTCCCGAGGGGCGGGGCCACACCAGAAAGGGGCGTGGGAACCCAAAAATGGGGCGTGGTCACACTGGAAGGGGGCGTGGGAACCCAAAAATGGGGCGTGGTCACACAAAAAATGGGGCGTGGTCACCTCCATTAGGGCTCCTCCCACCTTTTTTCCCCTCACGATCCGCCCCATCCCGGGTGCCGTTCCCGCTGCGATTCCCGGTGATTTTGGGGCCGTTCCCGGTCCCTTCCCCGTCCCCCCGTTATTCCCGGGTCCATTCCCGTTACTCCCGGGGTTCCCCCTCGGATTTTTCCCCTCACGATCCGCCCCATCCCGGTGCCGTTCCCGTTATTCCCGGTGCCGTTCCCGGCGTTCCCGGACCCGTTCCCGTTATTCCCGGGACTCCTCCTCAGGTTTTTCCCCTCACGATCCGCCCTATCCCGGGTCTATTCCCGGGGCCGTTCCCGTTATTCCCGGGGTTTCCCCTCAGATTTTTCCCCTCATGATGTGCCCATTCCCCCGTTACTCCCGGTGCCATTCCCGTTATTCCCGGGGTTTCCCCTCAGATTTTTCCCCTCACGATGTGCCCATTCCCCCGTTATTCCCGGTGCCGTTCCCGTTATTCCCGGGGTTCCCCCTCAGGTTTTTCCCCTCACGATCCGCCCTATCCCGGGTCTATTCCCGGTTCTATTCCCGGTGCCGTTCCTGTTATTCCCGGGGCTCCCCCTCAGGTTTTTCCCCTCACGATCCGCCCCACCCCGGCTCTATTCCCGGTGCCGTTCCCGTTACCTGCCCCGTCCACCTCCATCCCGCCGTTATTTCCGGTGTTCCCCCTCAGGTTTTCCCCTCACGATCCGCCCCTATCCCGGC